CGAATCCAGAGACGCCAGGCGCTTAGATCTTTGGACACTAACGTGAACTTATGATGTGATAATTATTTTTATGGTTAGAGACGTGGTTTCTTAAAAGGGGGGGTAAAAGAAAACCATGTGTGGTTGCATGTGTCGGCGCAATTACCAACACATCGACGGATCCTACATTGCTTAAATCTGTTGCCTATATAACTTTTGTCGCCTCTAATAACCGGTACTCGCCTTTCCTCGAAAAACCTGTGATGGTTGCTGTTGAAGAGTTATCTTCTGATAGATCAGACGAAGAGCAAAAGGACAACAAAGAATTTAAATATAAGGGGAAGGAGAACTTATCCTTGAAAGGATCAAATGTTGTAACTCGAATCCAGAGACGCCAGGCGCTTAGATCTTTGGACACTAACGTGAACTTATGATGTGATAATTATTTTTATGGTTAAAGAGTTATGTGGAAGCCATAATATAGATGTATTTCTGTACATTAATTCACCCGAATTGGGCTTTTGATATTAACCAAGTGTATGCATGTAATTTGTATATGCATTGGAAAATAAAACTATATTGATAATTCATATACGTAAATACAAAATCGCTTGCCATAATTTTTTATTCGATATTCATATACCGAAAATTAAATCATATGATCAACATACTTTTTCCGGATAGTTACTTATTGAAGAACGAGTTAAATAAAGTCTGTTCTAAGATCAATATTGGTGCAAATGGGATACCATCGAATTTTTGTTTAAGATGATCAAAATAGTACTCATTGATTCTTTTGAGGTGGTTGTTCATGGTAGGTAGTTTTTCGAGAGGAATTTGCAACTCTCTTGCATCCATTAAGATACCAACTATATAGAAGACTACCAGCCCACTGCTTTTCCAAATAGGTGAGAAATTTTACTTTGTCATTCAAAACATTATGTATGCTTTCTGAAATATTCATCTTGCTGATAAGATTTTCTAATAATTCTCTTCTCTCTATGATAAACTTGTGTATAATATCTTCATCACCATTCATTAATCAAGCTTCCTTCAATACATTTTGTAGGTATATCCTCAATATATTTCATTGCAAAATTATATTATTATCATCATCTTGACCTAAGTATTTGTTGATCTCATTCTTTCAACATTGACTAATGTGAAAGTAACAAAGAAGTAGAATAATTTCTGGTCACACTTTTGATAATGATCTCTATTTCTTAATATCAGTATCAGTTATTGCAATGAGAGAAGTAAACATAGTCAAATTGATATTCAAATTTGCTGCAAGTTAATTTTGATTATAAATAATGCTAATTTTGTCACAAAAAGTCATTTCAGGATCTTATTGTCATATTTGAATAATAATAAATAAAAGAAGTTTATGTTTGTTGATTTCATAGATTTTATTAACGAGAATAAGATTCTGATGTTTATATTTTTATGTATATTCCTGTTATTTCAAAGTGTAAATGATGATCTTTAGACAGTCAGTGTCTTTGATATGAAGCTGATAATGTAAGTATCCTTTCTTGATTTCTGATTAATCAGTATCTGGTTCAAGAATTTGTTTTAAATTATTACTAATATTAATGTTCCAGTTTTTTTAAAGCATTTGTTTTTTAATATTGATAATATCTATTGTCATGAGTAGTGTTCTGGAATTTCAATTAAAATATATTTTTCAAATATATTTCATACAATTTTTGCATTTTGTGCAAGAATATTTGTAATATTAATATTTAGATTTAATAGATTTTTGGTATTTTTCTTCACATATGATAAAAGTTGATATGATGAATCACATTGTGATTGGAAGACTTTACATTATTCTGAATATTCCAGATATTTTGTAATAACATGAATTTCATTAGTTCAGAGAGAAATTATAACAAAGTGAAGTATCTAATATAGAAGTAACATATAATTAAAACTTGAGAATTGAATTTAATAACTCTTTTTTAATAACTTTTACATATATATTATTTAATAATTGTTATTGAATTTGATTATCAGGTTGACTAAAGATAATCTCCTAAATTATTTTTAAAAAAATAGTATTTTGGCAAATAATTCAATTTTGCTATATTATTTATATTAATGAATACTTAAAAATCACCTAGAAATACTTGTTTTGGTTTGTAGAATTCAAATAATTCCAGAAAATAATTTTGACTACTAATAAAATAAATCAAAATAATTTTGAATTTAATTTTGACAAGTTAATTTTAGCAAATTATTTAATTAAATGATGTCATTTTGGCAACTATTCTTAAGATTAATCACTTATTCCACATATTATCTGAGTCAATATTGAATTTATTTTCATAGAGAAATTGTTTATGATATTTAATATAACTTTTAATAAATGAATCCCATTTTATTTTAATTATATCAGATATATTATTATCTAGCAAGTTAATAAATTTAATTCAATCTTTTTTTTAATAAAAGATGAAAATTTAGCTTAATATCTATGTATAAATTATAAATGCTTCTCTTTTTGTTTGAATCAGAAATTTTAAATTTTGTTAATAATATTATTATAATCACTTTTCTCAAATCAAATTTCAAATTTCCTAATTTGAGTTTTACCTCTAATATAAATCATAAGTTATAGATTGATTTCTAATTTTAAGTACTATTAAAGCAAAGTAGTATTTAGCCACAAGTTGTGTCATCTATACATATATATATAATTTGTAATATATAAAGAATTATATATATTTTGATACAGTCAAATCTTTCTATAGTCACTATTCTTAGAAAAGCAAAATTTGATAATTATAGAGAAAATATAATTATAAAGAAGATTTTTTTATTATGTTTATATATAAATAAGAAAGCAAAATAGGGTGACTATAGAGAGGTGTGACTATAAATGGATATAACTATAGAGAAATTTGACTGTAATTGATTATACTATTTTATATATATTATCATATATTTATATGTATTGTAGTTACTATTATATTCTATTACAAAATATAAAAAACAAGTATAAATAAATATTATTAGCAATTTTGAATTTTTTTTGTCAAATTTAAATTAATAAATTTGTTAAAAGTTGGTATATTGAGTTTGAGAATAAAGTGGTTCTATAAAATTATATTTTTTCTCTAATATAATACCAACAAGAGTTATTAATCATTATTATATTTATCATCACCTTTACTATTATATTCTTATAATTGAAAATTCTTATAATTTCCATAATTTTCATAATTTATATAATTTATATAATTTATATAATTTCTAAAAACTCTAAAAACTTTAAAAACTCTATATTCTTTATAATTTTTATATATAAATCAATTAGATGAATTTTATTAATTATTATTTTTATATAATTTATTATTTATTAGTAAAAAATATTTATTATAAATAAAGTATAATTAAAACTTTGAAAAGATATTAATTGATCATTTAACTCTAGTTAGAATAATAATTTGCTCTTGATTATTGAAGTATTTGTTAAAATATTAATTAATTTTATTAAAAATGCATTCAAAATTCCAGATAAAGAATTCAATAATAACTAATAACTATTGATATTAAATGTATAAACTTATTAATGATAATTTTTGAAAGATTTTTATTTGTCATTTTATAAAATACTAAAATTTGAACATGTAATAAAATGAAGGTATTCCAAATAAAAAATATAGAAAAATAACAATTTAATCATCTGGATTTTGTCACATCAAATTAAAATTACACAATTAATTTTCTCTAAAATGATTTGAATTGAAAGTTATAATAATACTTCAAATTATATATATACTCTAAAAGAAAGTAATCAGATAAAATATTTAGAAGCTGTTCAAACTCTGATTAGACAAGAAGTAATCAAAAATTATCTATTTGTAATAATTGTCAATATTGTTAAGAAGTATATAACTAATAAATTAAATATTGATATTAGTGTTCAAGATTTAAAATGAAGACAAGTTGCAAATATTAGATATAAACTTCATAAATCTATAAAGATGTATTTTATTGATAATATCACTTTAAAATCAGATATTCTAAAAACTGTATCCTATTTAAATGAATAAGACTATTATGTTAAGTATTATTATATTTTCAATTACTTTACTGAATGTATTGTTTTTGCATATTCAAAACAATTAGAAAAATTTCATTATTTTAGCTGGCTAACTTTAATTAACTCTATACACAAAACAAATAAACATGATTAATATTTATTTACTTTATATCTTCATAATGAATATGAATACTGAAATATTAGTAGTCACTTTTTTGTAAGTAATGAAAACAGTGAGACAGTTATTAAAATGCTACAAATAATTTAAAACAAATATTCTTATTAAATGCTCTGATATATTCTTATAGATTAGAGCAATATTAAAGCTAATAATATCAAGTAAGCTTTTTCTAATTTTTGTAATAAAGAACAAGAGTATAAAATAATTCTATATATTATTCATGTTATATGAACATGAATGGTAAAAATTTATAAAAAAAAGCTCAAGAGATTATAATTTTAGTGAAGCACAAGAAAACAAGAATTAGTTGTGAGCAACTTATTTAAGAAGTTATTCATTTTTGTATGATTTCTGCAATTTATAAATATATTAAAAAAATTATATAAAAAATAATCATTAATGAGATTTCTGAGCTCACCAACACTCACTTCTTTTTTTACAAGTCACATTCATAAATACGCTTGAATCTTATCACAGTGAACTAAAATAAATAACTTCTTATTTATATAAATTAATTGATAAAAAGTTAAAGATTTTAATAAGTTGGTGAGTGTAAGAAGTTTTGATTAGAAATACTAATAACTTGATTCAAGTCAGCCAGCTTGAGTCAATTATATATGATTAGATATTTAATTTTTATTTATATTATATTATAAACTTTAATTTATCTTGAATTCATGTGATCAACTTTTAATTAACTTGAGTTTAGTTGAGTCAAGTCATTAGATAAATTAATATTTTCATATATTTCTTTTCTCTTTTTATTACTAAATTATACTTGATCTTTTTTAGGTGTCTCTTATAAAATTATTACTTTTAATCACAAGAAATAAGCTGATTCTGAAAGTGTCACTTTTAATTTCTATACAAAAAAAATATCTGCTTACAGTACTGATAATGAAATTCTCAAAGAAATCTATAAATTTCTCATTTTAATGCAACAAATACTTTCAAAGAGACTTTCACAGTGATGAATAAACAAGGATATATTAAAACTAACTTTATTCAATTGTTACTATTTGTTTTATAATTGCTATATATTATCATATAAACATATCTTTCATAAATATATCTATGATGTTACTAAGCTATTGATTACTGATATTTGAAGAATTATTTGAGAATAGTAATTTTGAAGTATATTAATCTCATGAATTAATTCTAAACAAACTAAAGAAAAAAAGAGCAAAAAATTAGTGACT